AGTTTAAAACTAACAGAGCTTCCTTAAAGAAAGTCCCGGAAGATGTTCTTCAGGAATAAAGAACATGGCGTGAAGGTGACTGAGATTCAAAAGAGACTGTGAACACATCAGTTGGATATGTCGTATGGGTTGTCTATTGCTGTGTAACAAATCACCCCAAACTCAATGGCTTGAAACACAGATGTTCGTTGCCTCCCACAGTCCAGAGGGTCCGGAGTTAGGGAGCAGGCGACTCTGCTGTCCGCCAGGGGCACTTGTGAAAGCTGCGGCATCTGCTTCCAGGCCCACTGAGTGCTCCTGGCAGGCCCTCCCTCTCTGGGCTCTCCCCAGGGTGCCGAGCATCCTTAGGCACAGCTGGTAACTTTTCCCAGAGCAATCAGAAGGAGGGGGGAGGAAGCGGGGGAGAGAAAGAGGGAGAGAGAGAGGAGAGCGAGCATGCGCTGTGGTACCTTTTATGATCTGATAATGAAAGTGACGTATCAGTTCTGCCATGCTTTATTGGTCATACAGACTAACCCTTGTGGAGGGACTACACAGGCATGAAAATACCAGGAGGGCCCAGCCAGCATGGCTCAGTGGTTGCGTGTCAACCTATGAACCAGGGGGTCATGGTTCAATTTCTTGATGTTTCTATCTCTCTTCCTCTCCCTTCCTCTCTGTAAAAGGATATTTAAATTAAAAAACACACATTAGAATACTATTCAAAATCAGTAATTTCCTTTTCATGGCTGATATCTATCACAGTTTGTTTATTTTCACCACATGCACGTAAGGCAATTATGTGCGGTGATTGAGGCATTGACCTTATTGTGTGGCCATTTTAGAGTATATGCGTGTATCAGATCATGTGGTGCGTAGTAAACTTACACTGGGTTACATGTCATACCTCAGTGAGGCTGGGAAAAATAAAAACAGTAAAATAACGTCAATAATAAGACCATACATGTTTCTGTTTGTGTGTATGTGTGTGAGCGTGTGTGCATTATCAGTACGTCCACTCTACATTTCATGAAGAATAAGAAAAGATGCAGAAAGGAACAGTGTAAGAACTGGAAAAGAGACAGTACTGTATAATGTGTGCAGAGAAGATCCAAAGCAAACTAAAGGTGAATTATTAGAAATAATGAGAGCTTAACAAGGTTATTGGATTTAAGATCAATATATACAATCTATTGCTTTTCCCTCGACCAGCAAAAATTGGAAACCATACAGAAGACATCGCATTTAAAATAGGAATAAAAATTATAAGAGACCTAGGAACAAATAGAAGATGTCTAAAGCTATATGAAATCATTAATAAAAGTTTATTAAGGGACCTAACCAAATGAAAAGATTTATTGACAGGAGACTCAAGGTCAGATAGGGGACTCCAGGAGAGTGAAAGGTCATCTTCTCCAAGTTGTTCTCTAGACTTGTGGCCATTCCAGTGGAAACCCCAGCAGTGTGAGGTGAGTGTGCCCCGCTGACTCTAACATGTAGAGAGTAAAAGGTCAGAATGGGAAGACGGTCCCGAAGAAAGAGGTGGAAGAGAAGAGGAGGCGCCTGTGAGGCCCTGAACACGGGCACAGGCCATGCGGTGTGGGTGCCTGCCCAGGAGTCCAAGGGGAGCCCCAAACCCACACCTGCGCAGGCAGCAGCTGCTTGACCAGGTGCATGGAGGGTCCTGAGGAAAGGGGGGGCCACAGTGGGGGCATTAAGCCCCCACTCACACAGACACCAGTTCTGAGCGGAATAAAGAAGTAAATGCAAAAGACAAAGCTCTACAACTCTGAGAAGAAAGTCCTGACTCCGGGTGACAAAGAACACGTTAAAAAGACACACAAATCCCTGCATTTAATTGCATTAGAAATTCTGTTCGTGTGGAAGATAATTTTATAAAGATAAAAGACCAGCCTCTAATTGGGAGGGATAGTTGTGATACTAAATGACAACGATTTAGAATTCAAAATAAGAAATGAATAATGTATAAACTTATTTGAAAACAGAGCAAAAGACATAAAGAAGAATCAGGAATGGCAAACTCAGAAAGAAGCCCAGTTCTACATCTAAAATAAAATCAGTAGCATATTTTATACCTCTAAGTTGCTAGAAATTAAGCAGTCTAACCATGTCAAGCATTGAGAGCTATGTAGAGTAATAACAGCGTGCAGCTGGTGGATATTCCAGTGGAGATGATTACAGAGGAAAACAATTGAAGTTATTTTGGAAAGCTGATGGTGTGCATAATGTGCCACCCAACGACTTCACTCTGGGCCTGTCTTTAGAAGGTCCTTTTTCAAACTGCTGAGGGCAACCATTAGTGAACCGGCCATCCTACATGATAAAAGGGTAATATGCAAGTTGACCAAACAGTGGAAACCACTGGTTGCTGTGACATGCACTGACCACCAGGGGGAAGACGCTTAATGCAGGAGCTGCCCCTGCTGGTCAGTGCGCTCCCACAGGGGGAGTGCAGCGGCGGCAGCGCTAAGGCTGTCCGACTGCGGCTTAGGATGTCAGTGGGACATCCCCCGAGGGCTCCCGGGCTGCTAAAGGTGCAGGTCGGCTGAGGGGACCCCCCTCCCCAAGTGCACGAATGTCATGCACCGGGCCTCTGGTGTAAAATAAAAAGTAGAGTAGGAAATGTCAGAGGACATGATTCATTTTAAGGTTGTGTATCATGTGGTGACACCGTTTCTGGCCTTGGCAATTATGCATTTATCCTGGGCTGCCGTGTGGAAAGCATTGCTTGTGAAAGTGATGTCAGAGGTGCGAAAGCCAGGGCCTTGGAATGAGCTCTCACATGTGTGTGTGCTGGGATGTGCACAGAAAGGCTCATAGCTGTATGATCTGTGAGAGCACACGCCGGGGGCGGTGACGGGAGATGATTTACTGGCATAATGGACTGAATGTTGCTCAGCATTGAAATGAATGGACTGTGCTTATAGGGAATAATATGGACAAATCTTACAAACATAATATTGAACAGAAAGCTGGTTGGGCATCCATCTGTGAACCAGGAGGTCACTGTTAATTCCTGGTCAGGTCACATGCCTGGGTTGTGGGCTTGATCCCTAGTGTGGGGTGTGCAGGAGGCAGCCAATCAATGACTCTCTCATCATTGATGTTTCCATCTCTCCCTCTCCCTTCCTCTCTGGAAAAAAAAAAATTATAATAAAAATACTGGACAGAAAAAGCCAGATTTAGGAGACTGAAAAAACACTAAGATATATATCATAATTATAAAGCTCAATAAAGCTCCACTAAACTGTATGTTATTTGGATATATTTTCTTTTTTTATATAATATATTTTATTGATTTTTTTACAGAGAGGAAGGGAGAGAGATAGCTAGAAACGTCAATGAGAGAGAAACATCAACCAGCTGCCTCCTGCACACCCCCCACCGGGGATGTGCCGGCAACCAATGTACATGCCCCTGACCAGAATCAAACCTGGGACCCTTCAGTCCGCAGACTGACGCTCTACCCCTGAGCCAAACTGGATATATTTTCAAAAGAAAAGCAGGATGAATACTCATCCATCATGGTGAAGGAATGACATGCTGATACATGCTACAACATGGATGAAATTTGAAAACACGCTAAGGGAAAGAAATTCAATGTGAAAAGCCACATATTTATGATTTTTTAAAATATGAAATGTCCAGAGTAGACAAGGCACAGAGAGTGGATGAGTGGTTGTTGGGGGAAGGGAGAATGGGAGTGAGTGACCGTGGGAACAGGTTTCTTGAGAGGGTGATGAGAATGTTCTGGAATTGATGATATGCTCGTACAGTTTTGTGAATATTGTAAAAGCCATTGAGTTATGCCCTCTCAAATGATGAGCTTCATGGCTGTGATTTCTTAATGAAAGTTCTTTCTGAAGAGGAGCAATGGGATCATTAAAAATACACAAGTTCAGGGTCCTGTTTCCCTCGGGGCGGGCAGACAGGGCAGGAAGGAGGGACAGTGAGGTACCTGCAGCAATATCTGAAGTTCTAGTCTGTGGGTGTTTATCTCATTACTGTGTTTAGTGTGTGTTATATATTTTTAGTGCGTTTAAAATTTAAAAGAAACTCAGTTATTAAATGAGGTACCATTAAAAGCAAAAGTGCCTTTTGAAGCATCTCCTGAGAGTGCCTGTGTGGTGGGTGCAGTCTGACCTCTGGTGGCCGAGAGCGGAAGGACGCCGGGCCGCTGGCGTGGGCCCGGGGAGGTGTGAGGGCGGGATCCCTGGGCACAGCCTGGTCCTGACCCCGGGTTGATGTCCAGGAGGTCCGGCCACTGCCAGCCGCATCCCCGGAGAAGAGCAGACAGCTTTGCTTCCCTGGTTCTGGTTTCCCCTTCTCCGGCTTTTCACTGCTCCCTTAGCCCAGGAGTGAGGTGTGTGTAACCCTGACAGCTGCCGTCGGAGGTGGTGCCTGGAGCACGGTCTCTGCATCTCCGGGGGGGGTGGGGGGGCCTGGGCACCTCTCTGGAGGACTGCCCTTAAGCCCGTGGGCCCGGAGGGTGAGAGTGAGGGTGATCTGGGGAGCGCCTGCGTTTCAGACCGCCGGCTGGACCGGAGCTGGCGGGGTCCCTGCAGCGTCTAACCTCACAGGAGGCAGGACGGGCAGCAGTGGGTCAGGCTGGGGGGGGCAGGCGGAGTCCCAGGACTAAGAGCCAGAGCTGCCCCGGGGGTGCTGAGAGGGGTCACCGCATGGCTGGGGCCCCAGAGGCAGGCGGCAGGAGAGACGGGGCTGCGGGCCCTCAGCTCCTGCTCACATGCCATCCTGAGTGTTGCTTACCGCTGAGCTCTCCTTCCTCTCAGAGGGTCAGTCACGGGGCCGCTGGCCGCGTGGGTGCGGGTGGTGACGGTCAGTGCGGAGAGCACCATGGGGAGCCATGTCCGTGCCTCTGCCCGAGCCTGCACTCCGCCACGGGGGAGGGGAGGGCGCTTGGAACAGTGGGGTTCGCTGGGCCCCGTCGGGCTGGGATCTTCTGCCCAGGACATTGCTTCTCCTCCCTCTTCCTAGACGCCATGGAGGTGCTGTTCATCTTGCTGTGCGGCCTGCTGGCCCCTGCCATCCTGGCCAGTGGTGAGTACGCACCAGCGCCGTGGCCTGCCGTGGCCTGCCGTGGCGGGAGGTCCTGGCCCTGGGCTCTCAGAGACCATGTCGGGTCAGCCCTGCCCCCTCAGCCAGCAGAGAAAGTCCGGGAGGCGCAGCGATCCCTGGCCCTCCTCTAGCTGCCCTCCCAGGCTGCTGCAGGCTCTGCCTTAGGCCTCAGGTCCGGCAGCCCCTGGGGTGTTTGGCCGGCACATCGGAGTCTTCAGCCTCTGGCCTTGCCCTCAGCTTCCTCATCTGTGGGAGGAGGGATGACGTGAGCATAAAGAGGGACTGTGACCGCTGCTGTGAGCACTTCTCGCCGGGGCTCCCAAGTGCTGCCGGCGGGCAGCCTGCCTCTTCCCGGCCCTCTGCTGCAGGCTCTGCTGCAGGCTCCGTTTCCTGGCCCCTCTGCTGCAGCCCCGCTTCCTGGCCCCCTGCTGCAGGCCCCCCTTCTCGGCCCTCTGCTGCAGGCCCCCCTTCTCGGCCCTCTGCTGCAGCCCCGCTTCCCCGCCCTCTGCTGCAGCCCCGCTTCCCGGCCCTCTGCTGCAGCCCCGCTTCCCGGCCCCGCTTCTGGCCCTCTGCTGCAGCCCCGCTTCCCGGCCCTCTGCTGCAGCCCCACTTCCCGGCCCCGCTTCTGGCCCTCTGCTGCAGCCCCGCTTCCCGGCCCTCTGCTGCAGCCCCCCTTCCTGGCCCTCTGCTGCAGCCCCGCTTCCCGGCCCCGCTTCTGGCCCTCTGCTGCAGCCCCGCTTCCCGGCCCTCTGCTGCAGCCCCGCTTCCCGGCCCTCTGCTGCAGGCCCCCCTTCCCGGGCCTCTGCTGCAGGCCCCCCTTCCCGGCCCTCTGCTGCAGGCCCCGCTTCCCGGCCCCCTGCTGCAGCCCCCCTTCCTGGCCCTCTGCTGCAGCCCCGCTTCCCGGCCCTCTGCTGCAGCCCCGCTTCCTGGCCCCGCTTCCTGGCCCTCTGCTGCAGGCCCCCCTTCCCGGTCCCCTGCTGCAGCCCCGCTTCCCGGCCCTCTGCTGCAGGCCCCCCTTCCCGGCCCCCTGCTGCAGCCCCGCTTCCCGGCCCTCTGCTGCAGCCCCCCTTCCCGGCCCTCTGCTGCAGCCCCGCTTCCCGGCCCCCTGCTGCAGCCCCCCTTCCTGGCCCTCTGCTGCAGCCCCGCTTCCCGGCCCCCTGCTGCAGCCCCGCTTCCCGGCCCTCTGCTGCAGCCCCCCTTCCCGGCCCTCTGCTGCAGCCCCGCTTCCCGGCCCTCTGCTGCAGCCCCGCTTCCCGGGCCTCTGCTGCAGGCCTGCTTCCCCGGGCCCTCTGCTGCAGCCCCCCTTCCCGGGCCTCTGCTGCAGCCCCCCTTCCCGGGCCTCTGCTGCAGCCCCGCTTCCCGGCCCTCTGCTGCAGGCCCCCCTTCCCGGGCCTCTGCTGCAGGCCCCCCTTCCCGGCCCTCTGCTGCAGGCCCCGCTTCCCGGCCCCCTGCTGCAGCCCCCCTTCCTGGCCCTCTGCTGCAGCCCCGCTTCCCGGCCCTCTGCTGCAGCCCCGCTTCCTGGCCCCGCTTCCTGGCCCTCTGCTGCAGCCCCGCTTCCCGGCCCTCTGCTGCAGCCCCACTTCCCGGCCCCGCTTCTGGCCCTCTGCTGCAGCCCCGCTTCCCGGCCCTCTGCTGCAGCCCCCCTTCCTGGCCCTCTGCTGCAGCCCCGCTTCCCGGCCCCGCTTCTGGCCCTCTGCTGCAGCCCCGCTTCCCGGCCCTCTGCTGCAGCCCCGCTTCCCGGCCCTCTGCTGCAGGCCCCCCTTCCCGGGCCTCTGCTGCAGGCCCCCCTTCCCGGCCCTCTGCTGCAGGCCCCGCTTCCCGGCCCCCTGCTGCAGCCCCCCTTCCTGGCCCTCTGCTGCAGCCCCGCTTCCCGGCCCTCTGCTGCAGCCCCGCTTCCTGGCCCCGCTTCCTGGCCCTCTGCTGCAGGCCCCCCTTCCCGGTCCCCTGCTGCAGCCCCGCTTCCCGGCCCTCTGCTGCAGGCCCCCCTTCCCGGCCCCCTGCTGCAGCCCCGCTTCCCGGCCCTCTGCTGCAGCCCCCCTTCCCGGCCCTCTGCTGCAGCCCCGCTTCCCGGCCCCCTGCTGCAGCCCCCCTTCCTGGCCCTCTGCTGCAGCCCCCCTTCCCGGCCCCCTGCTGCAGCCCCGCTTCCCGGCCCTCTGCTGCAGCCCCCCTTCCCGGCCCTCTGCTGCAGCCCCGCTTCCCGGCCCTCTGCTGCAGCCCCGCTTCCCGGGCCTCTGCTGCAGGCCTGCTTCCCCGGGCCCTCTGCTGCAGCCCCCCTTCCCGGGCCTCTGCTGCAGCCCCCCTTCCCGGGCCTCTGCTGCAGCCCACCTTCCCGGGCCTCTGCTGCAGCCCCCCTTCCCGGCCCTCTGCGGGAGGGCGGCCTGCAGGCCGGCTGTCCTGGGAGACAGGACGCGGAGCTGTCTCCTC